ACGACGAACTACCGAATAGAGAAACAAATTGATAAGCAATTCGATTACCAAGTCCAGTCTTAATAAACCCTCGTGCGAAGAAGAAGGCGAGAGCGATGAGCCAGGGGATGGGGTCGCCGAAAGCGGAGAAGGCAGCAGAGAAAGTTAAGGTTTTAGTCAGAACGGAGGCGCCGAGTCCCAGCAAAGCAACGGCGCCGAGAGGCAGTGGCTGGGTAATAATCCCAACAATGGTAGCGAGGAAAATCGCGAGCAATTGCCATGCGTTTCGAGAAACACCAGACGGAACCGGAAGAAACCACATAATGATACCCGTAGCAATCGAAGCTATAAGTGGCTTTATCGCCGCACCTTGCCATGGCTGAGATGCCGGAGCTACAGCAGCTGGAGTAGAGGAAGCTGCTCGGACAGTAAAGGCACCGAGATTTCCACGAGAACTTCTCGAATCTAGAGTTGGTCTAATGAATTTAGCTTCATTGGATAGAGAAGACGGAATGCGGATGCTAGTTCTGACGCCGCTTCCGAAAATGGCGGTTTTGGGAAGACTTGGACGGAGAGAGCAGCGGATTTGGGGATTCGATTCAGATTTCGGAAGGCGCGACCGGAGAGAAGGGAGATATGAGGAAGTAAGCGCGAGAGAGGCCATGAACCGGCAGTGATCTAAGGCGGCGGCGGCGGCGCCTAGCGGTCGGAGATTTCAGAGGAGCAGCCTCGGACGGAAAAATAAGCTCCGGTGGCCGTGGAGATTTTAAAACAAAAACCGACTACTGGACATAGATCCGACGGCGGAGTTTGCGATTCGATTGGAAAGAGATCGAAAATTGCAGTGAAAAAAGTTTAAATTGGCTTCGAAGGGTCCGCCGGAGTTGGTTAATGCGGCGGACTTTTCGAACCGGTAGCAAACCACGTGGTATTTCTAAATAGAATCCAGCTGATGACATGGACGAAGGGAAGAATTTCATCCAATGAGAGAGACCGTAGTCCACGTGGCAGTATATAAATGGTGGATGGTCCGGGAATTCAGATCTGACATGTGAGGTCAGGAACCAAGTGATGTAAAATGACGGAAATACCCCTTGGATAGGGAAATGTTGAGGCACGTGCACCACCCAAAAAACAAAACAAAAACAAATTTAATCTGTGGGTGAAGTGAGAAAAAGGAAAAGAGAAAGTGGGTGAGCTGACTCAACGGAGTGGCGAAGGGGCGTGAGAGGCGCGTGACGTGACTGTTTCCAAGTTCTAGGCTCCAGCTTTCAGCCAGCGAGGACAAAAATGTCAGAAGATCTCATTCTGAATCTGAACTAGTGAACCATATTTTCATGAATATAATATGTAAATTATTAGTATATATTTAACAAAATTAATCTGTTTCTTTCTGAAAAACAAAACAAAACAAAATTAATCTTTTCTTTTTCTATTCTTTTTCAATTTTATGATCAATGATCGCTATATTATGTTTGAGTATAATTTTACTATTTTAACAAATAAAGAATTAGCCCCCGTTGGCTGATTTTTTACTCATGCATATCAAATGAGTTTTAGAGAATGTTGATGTAGTAATTTCGGTTTGATCTCTATCATCCATGGCTCCAACAAATATTTGTCCACACAAGAAATCTCGACATTGATGTAGTGTTAATTCCAAATATAATCTCATGTTTAAGTTGGCAAAAAAAATTGTTGGAAGTAGCAAAAGAGTAGAGTTGTGAAGAGCGTATTATATCTTAGATCGAGTTAGGGACTACTATAGTCTAGTTTGGTTGGGTGATTCAACTTGGGTGGTTTGACTCGAGTGACTTGATTCCTTTATAACTTCAATTAATTGTAATTTCACCCATAACAAAAAAATATTATTTTTATAAATTTGTAATAATTAAAATTCTAAAATTTTAAATATTAAAATTAATTTTTTTTGTGCAATATTGTTAATCAAATTGTGAGCTGTTAAATTCTACTATATTTGCTTATATTGATTCCATTCTTGCGAAAAATATCTATGATGATTACACAGTTAATAAAGTTCCGCTTCCGCATTTTAATTTTAAATAACTTCTTTGATGCATTATAAGTTCCTGATTTCTTTTGTAAAGAAGTGTGTTTTTCATAATAACATTAATGTTGAATATTAAAATTTTGTATGTTATTTAAACCACTGTCTTCGTAGATCGATTAATAAAAATTATTTAGACCAACACAATTCAATGATAAATGATATTTCTTTTCTTAAAAATTCAACTTATCATAGTCTATAACTTATACAACTTATACAGCTTGAGTAGTAATTGACATATATCTCAAACCAAAGATTATGAGTTGGATCTTCCATCCTCGTATGAGTAATAAAACAAAAAGAAAAGAAATTCTCACTACAACTACAAATTAGGTTGACGAATATTTTTCCAATTTTTTATATACAACAATAACAAGCCATTTTTCAATTTAGAAGGTTATATTTTGTAAATTACTTTAATAAAAGAATAGTATTTACATGCCTGTCAACAACTTGTCGCTTTGGCCGAGTGGTTAAGGCGTGTGCCTGCTAAGTACATGGGGTATCCCCGCGAGAGTTCGAATCTCCCAGGCGACGTTATAATTTTTTAATTTTTTTAATGTTTTTATATGTAATACTTTCTCCCGGATCACAAAGGAATTGAGGCCCATTATTCGGCCCGATATCATAGCCCAACTTAGAAATTTTATCAGATATTATGCTCGATATAGTTTAAGCGAAGGGTACCAATGTAGATTTTTTTTTTCTTTTTTTTTTTTGAGGAAACTGTGTAGGGAGATTTATCAAATATTATTGTTCCCCATGAATTCTAAATTTTTTCTTTTGGAGAGCTTGATAGTATGTATGTGCAAGAGAGAAGTGACTTCTAATTTGGGGAGAGCTTGATAAATGTTTGCGTAAAATAAGAAACAATTTTCTTAGAAAAGTGAAAAATATATGAGGGCAATTTCTTTCCTTTTTATCGTAATTCAAAAAGTATATATAAAATATTTTAGATTTTACAATTTTTCTCTAGTTTGTCATCCTGAATTTTTTAGAAATAAAAGATTATGTATATAAGATTAAAAAGTAAATTTTGCCTACCTCTAAGAAAATTTCTGACTCCACCTCTTACTTGGAGAGAAAAATAAAACATATGCATTTGAACTATAAATTTATGTAGATAGAGAGTTTAATGGTAACCTATTGCTTGGTAAAGAAAAAATAGAGAACTTTTAAAACAAATTGTTTCATGAGAAGAAAAATTGTAACCTAAAATATTGTGTAATATTAAAGTTTAGATCTTAAGTATTATTTTCCTATTTACTCTAAAATATTTATACTATTGGGACAAATGATATGAGGTTAATATTATTAATGTAGATTGAGACTTTGGACTATACACTGAATGTGTAAAGCTTTTTACTATGTGAAAAATGCACTATATTGGCTAGTGTTTTTTAGATTAAAAGAAAAGGGGGAAATAACCATAAACACCCTAAGGAAAAGAGCATAATTTTCAAATGAAAGTTAGTTTCTTTCTTCCCTCAATCACTCTAGCAACTAATCCAAGACATGATCAAGTGTACTTTATTTGTTCTTCAAGTTAACCAAATATTTAGTTTTCCAAATTAAATAATTAATAGAAATGCACATGTTAGTCATGCCATTAGCCTCCAAAGTCATAAAGAAAATGATTGGTGGAAAAAAGGATATTCTTTTATCATTCATTCAAGTGGAAAAATGGGTCAATTTTTTTATGTCTACCTATGTGATCTAAATTGTGTAAAATATTTCAATTGGGTAATTTTCTAAGCTCTAGCTTCATTGAGGGAATTTGGGAAAATATAATGATATCACAATTAATATAATTTTCCTACGGGGGATCCGTAATAAAATGAGAAGAGTGTACATATGCCAAAACGAGCATAGCTCGGTGATAATTGACATACATCTCCAACCAAAAGGTTGTGAGTTCGATCCCCACTCCTAGATGTTGTACTAAAAAAAGAGCGTATTACTTTCTATTTCTATATTTCACTGTTAGATAATATCTTCAAAAGACTTTATTTAATTATATATCCTCCAAATTTAGTACTAATGGAATGGTGACTATGTGAGTACATTTATAAAAAAATACTTTTATTAAAGATGGAATCATTTATTTTATCAATATTAACTATCTATATTTCACTCTATCTATTTTAAAAACTCAAACCAACTCCGTTGTTTTTTTTTCTGTGTTAAACCAACTTAATAAAGTAATTATTACATGAATATACTTCATAATATCTCACCCATTTCTAAAGAAAAACTCCCACCCATTTCAAAATTTTGGGATGTGGCATTCTTTCTTTGTGTAATCCAAAGCAAAATGTCACATCATAATTTTTTACCACGGTAGATGGGAATGAGGTTAAAATTTTTTTATACCTTGAAAGATAACATCAAAACGTTTAAAATCCTAAAGACGAAATTGGAAAAATGATATATTTATATTTTTGGGTATAAACGAAAAAGAGATGGGGGAGGATAGTGTGTTACATAATGGCATTTAGAATAGAAACCAAGCATGTGCTAACTAATCTCTAATTGACATAATTAGTTATGAAAATAAGCCAAAGTCACTAACGAAAAGCAAAAAGATCTACTTGGTGATCGAATATATATAATTATAATTTGATAGATATATTAATGGTTGAATTCCATAGTGGGAGAGAGATCCATTCCCTCAACTTAGTGATCATTATTAAACCCCATTAATAGAAGAAACGACAATCATACAACAAAACCAACCAACCCTCCATTTTTACACCATTATATTATCATTCCTTCCTTTGAATGGAAGCTCAAACCCACAATTTTAAACCCAATTAATTATATTAATTGACAGAACAGATCAATATTCAATAACAAACTTCCATTCATTTCACCAAACATATCTCCCATCTTTCTGTACATGCATAATATATATGTATATATATGTTACAAAATATATATACTACATATACAGTTTAATTATACAAATATTATTGCTCTTTCTCTAGCTTAAAGCATAGCTCTTTAATGGAGTGCCTTTCAAGGCTCACCAATGTCTGTGCCACAACCTGAAATCTCAGTCCTTTATTTTCCTTTTTACTTCTCATCATAAACTTTTTAACAGAAGAAAAAGTTTACAGCCAACCAACAAGATGATGAGCAATATTCTAACCCAATTCTACTGTGCCCAAAGTGTTAAAAGGGTAAATATTATACATATTTATACCTTGGAAAAAAAGAAGAAGATGAAAATGGGTTTTTTCTGATTCTTGACTCATGCCCGATATAGTATGATTCTCGCTTCCGATAGTTTCTCTTGTATCAGACCGTATAAAACTATCAGCTACATTGTCGCAACTTCTTATGGTTATTGAACTTGAAAGTTAAGACATGGGAAAGATGAAGGTACGTCTTTCATCAAATCGTCTAAGTCCCATTCGCCAATTGAAAATTCTTCTTGAAGATAATTATTATTCCCAACCCCACCATTAATAATGCTCTCAACCTTGGGATTATTGTTGTTGTTATTATTATTATTGTGATTAGGGAGGACGCTGTTCATGTTGTTAATTAAGTAATTACTATGGTTAGTTTCCTTAATTATGGTTTCGGTTTTTAAGCTTCCCTCGGTGGTGTTAACGTTCTGCAGGAGAGGGAGGTTGAAGAAGCTATCTTCATCCCGGAAAAGAGCTGGCTCAATCCCACCGGTGAAGGTTGGGGCGGTGGCAGCGGAGAAGAATGGTCCACCATGGGCCGTGGCGAGGAGAGGGAAGGTATCGAGGGCGAGAGCGGAAGGCGAGGGATCGGCGGTGTAGATGGGGAAGTCGAAGCCTTGTTGGTCTTGAACCGATAACAAACCAGTGAAAAGAGTGGATTTCGAGTCGCCGGAGGGGGACCCGGAGCTGGTGTTCGGCGACGACGTCGAGGATAAATTCTTGAGTCTCTTTTTAATGGTCGAGTTCCAAAAATTCTTTATTTCATTATCCGTCCGTCCCGGCAGACGCGCTGCAATTTGAGACCACCTGCATTGAGGAGCAAACACAACACAAGAATACGTTTACGTATGTGTAACAAATCCTCTGCATGCATGAGAGAGCATGCAGCTATAACTAAATTATAAGCTTAATTTTTAATGAGTTAATGGATTATTAAATAATTTAGCTTGTCAATCTTTCTGCAATGTTTATAATTTTTAGTGTTAAAAGGTTAATTAGAAGAGCAGGTGTGAAATTTGGTGACATGTCATGTTTATAAACAACTAAAGCTGATTAAATGAGAGAAAACCCCAGAAATTTAATGACTTTAATTACTTCAACTTTTTAACTTTCCCATCCATATGCTATACGATAGAAATTAGCGTAGTTAAATATATAATAGTAATTTATTATTTTCTTAGTACAACGTGTATAGGTTGTAATCGAATTCACAACCTTTTGATTTGAGATATATGTCAATTATCAATAAATTATGCTCGCTTTAATAATTTAACAAATACAATGATTTATCAGTGTCATATATTTAATGAAAAGTGATTTACAATCTAGCACTTTTTTTTTTAATTAATCTAAATCCTTTGCCAACATATTAAGCTTTTCCCCAAAGCCTAGGCTACCTATAACTAAACTACTTGTTTACTTAATTAGGTTAGTGAACAACTAAACAAAATTTGAAAGTTGGTTTAGTTGCCATAAACTCGAAGGCTAAAACATTAATATCAACTTTTAAACATCAAAATTCAAAAGACCACTTGATATTCTCATTAAAAAAAAAAATCTAAATATACAATGGGCAGTTACGTACTAAGACTGAAAAGGCTTCTTTTCTTGGTTATTTGTATTTGAGAATATAGCAAAATTAAAAGGATAGGAGTTCAATAATAATTAACCTATTATCTTTATTGACTATTTTTGTTTTTATAGTCACTTATTTATTATTTATTAAATGTAATAGAGAAGTAACAATATGTTGGTGTTTATAATAGTTAGCACTCACATTTGTAGTGACAAATTTTCTTTTAACTTTTTAAAAAACAAAAATTATATATTTCTCTCCATATTAATGGTGAATAAATAAAGGGAAAATACAGTAGTTTAGGCCGGTTGAAAAATGCTAAATTTTTGCATTTATATAATTTAATGAGAAGAGAAGTGGTTTTAATTACCTGTTGCCGAGAAGAGAATGCAAATGAAGGATGAGGTCTTCTTCTTGGGGAGAGAAAGCGCCGCGCTTGAGATCGGGCCTCAAGTAGTTAATCCAACGGAGGCGGCAGCTCTTGCCGCAGCGCTGGAGGCCGGCATTACGGGCAACGTCGCTCCAGCAGCCCTGCCCATTATTCAGCATGTAGCTCATCAGCTTGTCGTCCTCCTCCGGCGACCACAGCCCCTTCCTCAGCTTCCCGGCGGCTGCGGCAGCGGCGGCGCCCCCCTGATCTGGCTTCCTCATTATAATGAGTTATTATTTTGTTGTGGCCTTGTGGGTGTATTACGTAGTTTATTTGGTTGAACTGGGTTGATGTGGATCTGTGTGGAATTTATAAAAGAGGAGAATTAATTTAATTAATTAAAAAATAAGTAAAAGCATGGAGATTATTGGAGTAGGAAAAAATAATGATGATGATGGGGATGGTTGTGGGGTTTGCTTACAATATTGGGGAGAGAGAGAGAGAGAGAGAGAGAGAGAGAGAGAGAGAGAGAGGGGTTGTTGAAGGGTCTTTGGTAGAAACGGTTTGGAGGGGGACCTGAAAAAAAGTTAGAGAGAGAAACGGGTGTCGTCTTGTCTTTGACTCCATAACCTTTGTCTTTTTTTTTCCTTATATTTTCTATTCCATATTTCTTCACTCACAAGGGAATTATCATCCATGAATCTTGAAACAAAAATGTTATAGCAATAGAGAGAGAGAGAGAGTTTGTTTTCCAGCCAAGCCAAGATATTTGCTTCCACTTCACATCACCTCTCTCTCTCTCTTCCACACGTGTAGTTCAAGATAGATCTTTTTCTTTAATATTTAATTTTAAGTTTGATAAAAGGTTTAAATATTATTTTAGCTTAAGTAATTAATTTCATTTTCTTTTACTAATTTTCATGTTCTTTCGAGTCTCGTCCTTGGTGTCCCTTATTCGTCCTTGACAATCGTCATCCTGAATTTTTTTTAGTATGTCGGAGAGGGTGTCTCACCTTTCTCCCTTGTTCTTAAAAAAATTTTGTTAGGTCTCTGTAAAACAAAATGAAAAATTGGAGTGGAAGCACAAAAAGAGAGAGGAAGATTTATTTATGAATGCGTTCTATTTTGCTTATTAGTCTCTGTAATAGTTTTAAAACTCCTATTTTGATTATTATTGCACCAGTAACAAATTATAATTTTAGTCATTTCAATTTTAATTTTATATCATTTCTATCGATCATAATTTTAATATGATATTTCACTCATTAAATTTCTTAAAATTTAAGGATAAATTTATATTAAAGATTTTTCTGGTTAAAATTTTGTAAATATTTTGTAAATAGAAACTAAATTATTACAAATAACAAAATAAATATTTTGGGAGTACCACGACTGAAATAAACAAAAAATAAATAAAAAATTGAAATGAATTAAAATTAAAAATACATGCGCTAAAACAGTATTTAAATCTTAAATAAATGATGACGAGATGTAATTGTGGTGGTGCATATATATTTGGTTTTGGCACGATCCACCTCATCACCTCTCTTTCCGTATGGAATTCTAGCTAGCTCCCAAACATTCCAATTTGGATTTGCAAGTCATTCATGTTTTTCAAACATCTCTTTATTTTATTTATGCCGTGTGTAAAAAGTAGAATTATATGTGTATTATTTCAAAAAATTCTCAATAAAATGTCTTAGACCTTCCAATATATACTTATTTGAGATATTATGTTACTTTTTTTTTTACAAGAATATAATAGAGAGGGTAAACAAGTCGACTTAACATGCCCCCTCATTTTTGGACCGATTGTTCGTTTGAACTTTTAGACTCTGATATCATATTAATATTCATGGGTTCTATCTCAAAATCAATTGACAATGAGAGGAGTAGCTCATGTCTATTATAAACCATTGTTAAGTCCTCTCTCTTTTTAAGGTGGGATCTTTAACATAGTTGAGATACGCACAACCCTCGCTCCTTAATATCACAAAAAATAAAAAGATGAAAATTTTAAGTTTAACCGTGGAGTTGTCCAGCAGCCATGTTGTTCCAAAAAATATATAGTCTTTTTGGTTTTCAAATTCATTTTACAATAACAATATTTGAATGACCGGTAGGGTTAGTTGAATTTGGACTCCCTTTTTTCTTTTCCATATGATTAACGACTTTTCTTTTTTTAATAATTATAATTAAATTTCAAAGTGGCTAGGATTAATTAAGAGAGAATGAGTTCAAATCCAATGATGACCACCTACCTTAAGAATTCTTACGTATTTCCTGATATCAAACGTTCTAGAGTCAGACGGTTGTCTCGTGGAATTAATTTGGAAGATTGGCATGCGGATTTAAAAAAAATTAATGAATTCAAAGCATAGATATAAAGAAATGGCATTTTTTAATGATATCAATTTAATAACTGAGTCTTTATATTTTTCCTCCATCCAAAACCTCAAACTAATAATTATGAAAAATGTCTGATGTTTTGTATTTTTATAAATTTTGTACAAAAATTAAAATTTAATTTGTGCTATATGTTTGTATAATTAGGGTCACATATCGTCCTCTTCATAATAATTAATAATAAGATTTCATTTTATCTTATGAAAATAAATAAAAACAATGTCACAAATATTTACTTAATGCTTAATTAATTATATTATCAGCATGATGCGGTGATATGAATCAGCAATTAAATTTGTGTTGTAATTAACAAAGACACATTTTTAGGAGTCCAAAAAGCGTACGGCTTTTTGAAATATTTCACATAAAAGAATGGAAAATTGTGTTTTAAGTTATTATTGTATGAAAAAGTTTCTTTTTTTCCCCTTCTTTTTGCCTTAGAAATGAGGTTTTTCCATTTGACGTATTTTATATGCAATCAACCTAAAAAGTCGAAAATAGGCTAAAAAAACAAGAGAAATGCCGAGTAATTGTCTCTTTGTTTTGAAGATGTTTTGATGTAAAAATTGAGACACCGTTTTCATTACAGAAAATATTAGAAAACAAAAACAATAATAGTATTTTCTTCTTGTTAATTTACTCTTCACATATAATCATTAGTATGAATCCAAACAACTCTTAAGAAGAAGAATCAAATCACGTACATACGATAGATAGTAGGTCCTCCAACCTTGATCTGTCAGGCTAGAATCAATTAAGTAGTTACAGACGGCTGCATGAGATACCTCAGCAGCCTTTATCTAGGCAAATAATGGTTTTTCGAGCTATTTGAAACTCACTCTGGTCGAACTTACTATCTTGGCCACTGCGTATTTCTGAAGTAATTAGGGAAATGTCAGGAGATGATCTTTCCTCATCGTGCCACATAGTAGGTCATATTTCGTCATAGGTATAAATGTAACATGTATTCTAAAAAATATCATAAATTTTAATTTTTTTTTTAAAACGCAGTATAAGTATGACTATTCTTATCATATTTTTTATTGAATTTAGTCCGAGTTTTGTTATTTTTGTAAAATTTTAAAATTTTTGCTATATTAAAAAATACATATTTATTTTATAGTAGATGTCTCTTTAAAAAATACATCCAAATACTATGATCTTTTAGAAACTGTTTGAGTGTATTTTTTTAAATTATATTATTTGAATAATATTGTTTTTGCGTTTGTGATTTCGGTTTATCTAATGTAGATCAAAATTTGTCAATTTAAACATGTCTGAATTGACGAAAAAGTTGCAAGTTTGAATCAAGTAGATCAAATTTTCAAGTATCCATGTAGTCTTCTTAACAAGGTCATGTGCATGCAACTATTGATTGGAACCTTCACATTTTTTTCTCAATTCACATGGATAACTTATTTCTTAAAATCATTTGATGTTATTTTCATAAAATCAAAAAGTTTTCAGAAGCATTTTTTCTTAAAATACTTTGAATAAAAATCCTTCAAACCATTAATTAATCACAAATATTTTTCTTTCCCTATTACTAATTTTGATCCGTCCATTATATCCTAAATCTACTTTTTAGACCATCATTTTTCAAGTGTTTCTAAAAAAAATAAATCTTAAATTAATATAACTTTTTTTTATTAAATATCTTATTTATTTATTTATTTTTGGTAGATTTTTAAAAAGTAGCTCTAATCCTATAAAATTACTTAAGAAGCCTATACTAAACCCACTCTAAATTAATAATTCTTCTAAAAATATTTAGGAAAAAAATTGTCTTTACGCAATTAATATTGATTTCAAACCCACAAGAATCAATAATAATCTTACTTTGTCTTTACTTTTACAAAGTG